AAGGAAAAACATCTTTTATTTCCTTTATTTACAGCTAACATCAATAGTTAATGCATTATTAAAAGCTCTCTTCTTACCAGGGACAAAAGTTGATCAGTAACTATGGCAACATTTTCTAATTATGGAGGTAGACAAATGATTCTTATATTTATGATAAACAGGGGGAAATGTGGACACAGCATGCTGTCATTGTCACATTGTTAGTGGTCTTTATCGTGCCCTGATTGAAAATGTCAATTCTGATTCACCTGTAAAATTAGTAGTCACCTGTTTACTTTGATGAAATATTGATTTTAGATTTTTTGGTGGTTAGTTCATTATTATCTCTTATAATAACTACAGTTACAGGAATAAACATCACCAGTCATCAAGAGCTTGTTGTATCTTATATGATAATGACATTGATTACTCTTTGGTTGTGACAGAGTCTATTTTGAGAGAAGATTTTCAGTAAGGTTTTGTAGGATCCTGATCATGGCTTATAACGACCAGCTTATTATAATTAGTGGAATTAAAATGGAGATCTTTCAACTCCTAAGCATACAAGTTTCATTGTCAAAAAAATTGCATTAATGCTTGGAAATAGATAGGCCTACTCTGTGGGATATATCAAAATTAGATCCAGATTTAAAATATAAATAGATAGATTCAGCCACCATTTTATTTTAAAGTTACTAGTAAGTGCATAATACAATTCTGAGAAACATTTAAAATTACACATACATTGTAAGCAATAAACAACAAATATATATCAAATCAATATATATCTGCATACTTCATGTTATTACCTAATTACCTTATCAGTGCTGGAATAACCTAGAAGCCATAGTAGCATTATGTTACAGGCCTCACATTTTTAAGGAGCCCATGTTAAATGCTCACAAAAATACAAGTCAGATAGCCTCACTTCAAGGTTTCTGAAATGGCAGCAGTCAAACAAAAAATAATTAAAGGATGTTAGCTTTTGAGAGTAAAAGCATCTGTTTGGGCTATAATTTCGAGAATAATTTAGATTTTATGGATATAAAGCCACATAGTAGACTTCAAATCCTTCACTTGCTATACTTAACATATTTTCAGTAAGTCATACGGAATTTCTATGCGACTAATTAACAAATTGTGTCCTAATTCTAACTCAAGGGCAATATAACCGTGCAGGTTATAGTGGTTATATGTTATGATTCAAATCTTGAATATTTAAAATAATGCATTATTAATTTTAAAAGTGAAAGCCTTCAAATTGAATTTATTTAAACTCTCGGGACAATAACTATTATATTCCTTTAAAACATTAATTGTATGTGTGCTTTTAAAATGTGACTAGCCAATGATGAAATGTTATGTAATCCTAATGACATGTTAATTTATTATAATCCCTTATTGTTTATAAAACTTCTATAGATGAAAAGTAACTGCTAATATAGTTTGTCTTGTGAACATGTCCATGGTATGATTAATCTATTAATTGTTTTATGCACCATTGTTTTATTTCTTATGTAAATTATTACATCAATGCTTGTTTATGTCAACACTTGAGCTCACCAAGTGATTAGAAGTAATTCCATATAAATATGTGATTGTACTTGATACATCAGTCTTTTAGGTCTACCCGACTTAGTATCAGTAAGTACTAGTCGGTTCTACGCGGTCCTGAAAGTGTATGTAGATGGTTATTATCATAAGTTTCCAGTATTAAACATTTGAAAAACCATTCCAAACTGACGGACCTCTAGGTCACAGCAATAACAGTAATAACACCACAAAGAATTCTAATTTGAACACTTCAGTTAATATCTCATAGATATAAAATAACACACAAAGTTTAATTAAATCAGGTAAAAAATGTAAAGTCTATCATAGGATGAAGTATGTAGCCTAGCTCATTACTCACTGATCCATTGTGGCTCCAATATTTTATAGCCAAGCTTCAACATTAATGATCTGAAAAACTACTGGAAAATTCAACATTCCTAATTAATTTTTACTGCAACTGAATAAAAATTTATATGCAGAAATTCAGTTATTCTTTTAGTTCTGAAAATAACCTCTTGAAAAGCCCTTGAGTGGAATTGACAGATCAAAGCTCTAGTGTAAGGTACCAGTGTCTCTATTTGCCTTGGTGCCGAGTTTGCCACAGTACATTGTGTATGGGACTGAAGTAAACCAGCGGCTGCCAGGCAGGATACGCCCACATTTTCGAGAGATGGATAGAGAACAAGCTAACAAGAAAGTGATTTTTCCTACAATCAAGGGCCATAATTCAGGAAATTACAATTCGATTTCGTGAATATCGAAAGGAACCAAGATCTTTGGGTTATAAACTTACATTTCAAGTTTCAACAAAATCGGATAAAAATTGTGACCTCTATAGGGTCCACAACCTTGATATACTTTACCCTATTTGAGAAAGAACGGCAGCCATTTTGTCTGTCAATTTTGGGCCGATTTTCACGAAATTCGAACTCGGCCATCCTTAGGGTGTAACGGTGATATAATTGAACGTTTTTTTAAATCAGATAAAAATTATGACCTCTATAGGGTCCACAAGCTAAAAACACGATTTTTGGTACAATCAGGGGCCATAATTCAGGAAGTTATGGTCCAATATGCACGAATATCGAAAGGAACCAAGATCTTTGGGTTATAAACATGTATTTCAAGTTCCATCAATATTGGATCAAAATTGTGGCCTCTAGAGGGTCCACAACTGTGATATACCATATATTTACACTATTTGCGTACGATGGGCGGCCATTTTGTCTGGCAGTTTTTGTCCGATTTTCACGAAATTTGAACTCAACCAACTTTAGTGTGTAACGTTTTTTTAAATCGGATAAAAATTGTTACCTCTAGAGGAACCACAAGCTAAAAACGTGATTTTTTGTACAATTAGAGACCATAATTCAGGAAGTTATGATCCGATATGCATAAATATCAAAAAAAAACCAAGACCTTTGGGTTATAAACATGCATTTCAAGTTTCATCAAAATCAGATGAAAATTGTGCCCTGTAGAGTGTCCACAAGCTAAAAACGTGATTTTTCGTACAATTAAGGGCCATAATCCATGAAATTTTGATCTGATACATGCCAATATCAAAAGGAACCGAGATCAAAATCGGATAAAAGTTGTGACCTGTAGAGTGTCCACAAACAAATTGTGGACTGACGGACGGACAGGGGCAACGGCATAATATGTCCACATGAAAAGAATTGATTGATCATGTTGCTCCTACCATGTATTATAAGAGTAAATGTTTGGTTTGGTGTTTTATTTCTTATTTATTCATATAGTTTTCTTTTTTACTGAATTATTATTAAAATGGGTTTATTCAGTACTGTATTGAGTAATTAACCTGCTACTTTTCTGTGTGTCTACCATTTGACTTACAAAAATGTCATGGCTAAAGGGTCTGGGGGCTTTTGTAACTAAAAGAAGTACCAGCCAAGCAGGTTACTGAAAACAAAGTTACCATAGATCAACTGTAATTCTGTCAAAATGAATAAAGGAATACCAATTTTTTTTTATCAAATCAAGGGTTAATCTGACATGGTCGCCTGAAGATGTCACTGCAATTGGTACTATCACCTGCTTTGATGCTTATTGCAATTAAACTAATGGTGGTCTTTTGGATAAAACACATGGCCATTAACAGATATTAGCTCTAATTACTTTTACTCAGGATGAAAGAAATGAATTTAGCCATACCATCCTTTTCAATCAAAGTAAAAAGTGATAAAGAGGTTACCATGCCAACACCGTTCAATTTTGGTGATAATCATGTTAATACTATCTGAGTAGTATTCTTGTATTTCACACTACAATTACATCACAATGTGTGAACACAACAAAATCCCAACCTATAAGTTCATGAATAAAGTACAAACAGATGAAATTGGTAGTAACAATAAATCCAACAAATGATTATAAAAATCAACAACAATTTGCTTTCATCAAAATTTAAGAATTAAATAAATGTTTTTTTTGGGGGGCTTCTTTTTTTTCGGGGTTGATTTTTTTTTTTTTTTTGCACCAGAGATCATTTCATTATACATTGTAAAATATTTTTCTGTTGTGAGAATAGGTGGTATTTAAAGATATGTTCTCCCTGGTTAACTAGGTCACCTGGCACAACTTGTAATATATGTCATTTAAACTAAAAGTATCACACATTTCTTATGACCTAGAAAATTATGATATTTCTTATGACCTAGAAAATATATTTCTTATGACCTAGAAAAATATATTTCCTATGACCTAGAAAAATATGATATTTCTTATGACCTAGAAAAATATAATATTTCCAATGACCTAGAAAAATAAAATCATAGACTGAAAGTAATTAGTAAGCTCACAATAAATAAAATAAGGCAGAAGTCATTAAATGTCAACCACAGGTTCAACCACAGGTTTGGCACATGTAGTAGTAGAACAAAATGAAATACAGTTCTGTTCCGAACTGGGCTAACGAAGACGGGCATAAGCCACAGTGCGCTATGTGGGAAATTTTACCCGGACAGCTTTGCTACGGCCTACTCTTCTATCTAATTCCAACTGCCAAGGAATCTTTAACATCCACGCCAATGTGTACATGGGACTTTCATCCCATTTGAATGACTATAGATTGTCCCTTGCCAGGCCTTCGGTCCTCCACCTATGACAAAGACGATCCACGCCGGAAAATTCTGATGAACATGGACCTCCGGGTTTGCGAGCCAACGTCTTACCCACGGAGCCAACGTGGTTTCAATAGTAGAACAAAGCTGTACACTACTCAAAAACTTTACCTATTGCTAAGTGACAGCTATAATGGCAGTAAATTTAAATGTGAAATGGAATAGGATTCCCCATGCATAACTCAAAATATATTTTTCCAATAAATTGTATGTAGGTTCTTAACTATTGCAGAAAAACGTGTTCATAGTATATGTATGTTTTATTACACTACATACAGTTAATATAGTTCAGTTTAAAATGAAATATTTTGTTGTATATTTCAGATGAACCGTCCAATACAAGTTAAACCAGCTGATAGTGAAAGTAGATCTGGTGAGTATATACCTATATTAATCTAACATATTAAGAACACCAAAAATCGTGGAGAAAAAAGATCTAGTCAAGCACAGCACTTTTCCAGTTTTACCAGAATGGCACTAGATTATCCAGTACCTGAACCAACTGTAGGTCTGATCAGTGATGATACTTGCCACTAATATATTGTATAGTATTATACACATGGCACTTTCCCCAACTTAACCAGAATTTGTCACTATTCAATAATTAAAATATTGTATAGTATTATGCTGCATTTGATTCAGTTTATGGTATATATTTGTCAAATAATGTTACAAGGCATATTTTCTTGAGTGTCAAAAAAGTGTTTGCACATAGAGCTTTCGAATCTCAAATTTATAATTAAATGTAAACAGGCAAGAATCAAATGCAGTATAAATTCTCCTGGGCAATCATTTGATGAACTTGTGTACATCACTGATATAAATCATCATGATAGCCTCTAAACCAGTTGTGAATTGCTAATATAATAAATTCATAAAAAATTCATTTATTTTTAAAAGTTTGAGTGTACCAGTCATTATAAATCAACCTAAATGGTCAAAAAAGATGGATTAGCATATTTTGATGTATATCAAAATATTATTAAATCCACTGATTTAATGAAAAGATTACATAACATACACTTTCTTTTAGCATTTTCCGAGATTCTATCCGGATTACCGCCCTTATTGTTAAAATTATTTGACGTTCTGGTTCATGACGTCAACTGGCAGACTATCGTCATTGAAGAGATGACCACAGTCAAGATTGGTCACATTATTTCTGTTACGACTTTTTTGTAAATCATCATTTTTTTTTTCATTTTGATTTGAGTGTAGCCTGTACCATTATAGGCCCAGGACTGTACAGCGCAGTGGACACTTACGGCTGTTCCTCTGGATCCATTCACTTGATTTGATATTTGTTTATTTTTTTGCAATGTCTATATTCTGTCTTTTCCATAGGTTTATCTTGCAAATTTTTTTTTTTGCGTGTAGTGCGGTCCTCCTGCATTTACAATTTAAGTTTCCTCAAATTAAAAGATAACACAATTTTTGTGGCCATGCTTTGTTGCAAGAATTTATTGAACCAGTGATTCAATTTCCCTGAGGTTAGTAAAACTATACCCTTAGAATCACAATTCTTTCCTCATCATGAAGTCTTCATGTTGTCTAATTAAGGCAAGAAACACTATTGGTCCCTTTCCAAATGTCATGACTACAGTCTTTATAAGGCTACCTGACCTTTTGCTCTAGTAAAGCAATGATTTAATAGAAAATCATGTTCACTAAAAGGAGAGCACGTCTGCAGTCATTCCATCTAGCTGCATTCAATCTATGACATGATCACACGCAACACTAAAATGGCTTCCAGTACTACTGGTGCACAAACCAGCTATTGGTGCAACAAATTGTAAACATCATACGAGTTCAAAGACACAGATTTATTCTAATGCATTGTTTGAATTTGCATAAGAATGCTTTGTAGATGCAAGAGGTTATGTCATAATTAGCATTATTATTGACCAAGAATGTTCCGAGAACTTATTCCAGAGACACATCGAGAAGGAAATTCCATACATTAGGGATAAAATATCATCTAATAACTTTCCTCATTTCTCATGCATAAAAAGACATTTTGATCCTTTTTTTTATCCCTGACTTTCATGCCATCTGTGGGTGCTTAATATCACCAACAAGATTAAACCCAAGAGAATACCTATAATATGTTAAACTTCTGCCATTGGTGTTCCACACTTTGACCTTTTGTCAGATATAAGTAATTATGGTAATATTACTACTGGGAATCAATTAAAGCAAGAATGCAATTTTGACCAATCGATTGTATTTGTCCTAAATTATATTTTAATAAAAGATAAGTAGTTATCTAAACCAGTTGTATGGATGGTCCAATATGTATTTTGTGCGTGTATATTGGCAGATTAAAGATACCTTCCCACATACAAAAATTAATGTGTAATTTGATGGTACATTTGAACTAACAACATATTTAGACTAATTAATCTATCAAATTTCACTCAAAATGTTTTAATCAGGAGAAAACAACCCCAAGCTGTAAAAATATATTTTAAGCAGCCTTGTTTATCAGCTAGTACATTTTGTTGTTAATTGCTGTCCCTTAACCATAAATATTGATGCCTAAGTAAATTCTTGGATTATCCTCTTCTAACTTATTTTTCTGCTGTTAAATCACAAAGTCTGCATGCCATTTAAATCGGTGGAAGCGGACGTAAAATACAACTAACTCACACACTTACATGGGTGTTTTTTCAGGCAATCCAGTATTTTTATACTAAGATTGGGTTTCTCTACTTTCCATAACCAAATTTGCCATACTAAGAAAGCATCTTTAACTTTAAATAAAAAAATATATATATTTTCATTAGGACATATGGCCAGCCTCACCATGAAACTGAAAATTAATATTTCTTTACAAAGGTACCCAATATCTTCATAGGACAAGGAAAAAGGTTCCCAAGCGTCTTTCATCTTGAATTAATCAATTTTTTCACTAAAAATATCTGTAATTGTTCCTTTAAACCTGGGTGGGGCTTGGTTGGGGAAATTCACTTTAGATCATAAGGTTTGTCATTGTGTCAAGTGGTTATCATCCCAAGCTTGTATAGGAGAGGCAATAGGGTTTTCTCTGGGACCTCCAGTTTCCTCCCACTGCCAAAACGACATAGTTTGTGTGGAATACATTAAACCCCAATCTCTCCCTCTCTCTTTCTCCCCTTTATACCCTCAATTCATTCTATTCCATACTTTATTTACTGTGAGTATAATCATCTATAATATTGAACTGATAAACTAATATATTAGTTGAAGGTTGAGAATGAAATGGGGTTTAACATCCTACTTTTCTGCACTGACTGGTGAAGACCGAGTTGAATAATGGAGATTTATCCTCAAACCGACAGTTTCTCATTTAGTCAAAAGTTAAAGACATGTATAATTTAAGACATAATTTCCTTTATTTGCATATGACATCTGCTTCCAGAACTATGGGAGCTTATTTATGCCAGAATATTCTGATAATGAAAAGATTCTAATTAGAGCAAAAGTGGGTGTTGTAGATGAAATTGGGTTGGAATTACCCAGAGGTTATCATCAAGCAGGAAGGAAGCCTCGATATTAATGAGGAGTTCTATTGGCCATTATTTTCATCAAATTGGTCTATCAATGCCAAGCAATTCTCCTTTACTGGTTTTTCATAATGTCTAAAACACTGGTGCCAAATTTTGTATGCATGCCAGCAATGCTTGGTGATTTTTCAGCACTCCCAATCTATAGTCATTATAAATTGTGTGACAGTGCATTAGATGAAGACCTTGTATTGATTATGTCTTATCTGCTAATCCGCCTGGTAAATTTTCTCACAAAGGTCAGGGACATTATTGATTGATGAATCTCTAGGCCTCATGCAATTGTTGGAAACTTCTTACATTTTTCCCGTAGATTTTTATGCTTTCCTATGCCGGTTTTAAATACATCAATATAAAGCCTTTATCCGAATGACAGCTTAAGGATATAGTCTTTAATAGGAAAATTATTCTTTTGTCGTTTTTCAAAGTTATAAGGACAAAGGAATTCCGTATTATGAATATCAAAATCGTTTTCGTTTCTGCTTTTTAGCATTTCTAGTTCAAGAAGTCAGCTAACTATTGATTTCTTCCCAAATATTGATTTTTATTTCTTCTTTGCCTTCCAAGTGTTTTAACTTTTTTTTTTCAACTTGACTGATGGAATTACAGCGAACTCACTTAAACCTTCCATTCGTTTCATTACATGACACCAACATAAGTGCACAAGTCAAGTTGTAATTTGATAACAATTCTTGACTTGAATTTAAAATAGAATGAAGCAACGGAGGCTGATGATGTCCTCCATATAAAAAAAAAATATTGTATTTGTTTCACTAAATGCATATTCTTATTTCAAATTCCAACTGTTAAGGATTCCATTATGTGCACACCAATGTGTACACGAATGTCATTTTTTGGACCATCCAAACCACTAGATGCTGTTTCTTAATTGCCAATCCCTCGGTCCTGCATCACAGACAAAGGAAAACCACGCCAGAAAATCCAGAGAATTTTCTTGACCAACACCAGGATCGAACTTGGGACCTTCAGGTTAGCGAGGCAGTGCATTACTCAGTGAGCCACAGTGGCTTCCTTAAAGCTTTTAATTGAGAGACCAGGATCTTGTAAAATAACAAATATAGTTTGATCTGAACACAAGATATTTCCCTAAAATTATGATTTTCCTAAAACTAAATACTGAGTGTAAATTACATTCTGTCACAGACTGTCCTGCAATGCAAAAATTATTTTTAACCATTTAATATACTGAAAACTAGAAAAATAAATCAGATTTTGTCTTGCAATGCCAAACTGTGTATGACATACTTAAAATATGCCTTGAGTGTTATTACGTCAAAAAATTATACCCTCTTGATTTACAACCACTAGATATAAATTACATTTAATATTGAAAGATAGAAAAATAAATCAGATTATTTGGAATGACTTGATAAATCTGATTTTTCCATTAATACTAATGTAATCATACAATTTATTGTCAAGAAAAAACCCACATTCAGTAGCATGCATAGGTTCTCGCCATTTTTCTGTATCAAATTACTGCGATACATGCGAAAGCCATATTTCATTGTCGTAATGCGGGAGGCAGTGGGGAGAAAAAGGCCCCCTGAAGGCGGGTTGCTAATGGCCAAGCCACATATAAACTAATGTCGCAGAGATTCATATTTAGAGGTAGCTGGTGTTCTGGAGTAATTTGCTACTGTTATCTTTTCTCATTAATAGTTAAAATAACCAGACACAATAAACACACACGGCTATCTGCCTTCATCTACTATTCAAATGGTTGATAAATCATTATCACGTCTACTAACTTTCACAGAAATGAAAATGTAAATTATGCAATTAACACTACATCAATTAGTTCACA